TGACAACCTGAGCCCTGGTGGTGACAATGGCGAGTAACGATGGCCGAGGGACAGCGTCAAAGAGCCACAGTGAGTAAGGGGACAAGTAACCAGGGTGAGGAAGACACGCACGCGATGCAGAGAGCTGTCCACGTGCGCTCAGCTCCTCCAGACGCCGCGGGGGCCAGGGACCGTGACGCTTCCTGAGGATGACAAAACGAAGCCCAGGGAGGCTGACGAAGGGCCCCAGGTCGAGCAGCCGGTCCACAGGCGCCTCTGTCCCCCAGCCCCACCTCTCGCTGCACCCGCAGGAGCCCCTCAGACAGCGGAGGCAGTGCCACGTGCCAGCAGCTCCCCTGGAGGAGGTGTCCCCGACGTCTCCTCTCTGCCACCAGCACGCTCTGGAAAGGGGGAGCACGTGGCCAGAGTGCATGTCACCGTTTAGGGCGGAAGCTCAGAAGCCTGTGCCAAGGATGCCCCTTGCAGATTCCTGCCATTCTGTCCAAATGACAGCCAGGGCACGGTCCCCCCCCGCCCCCGGCGCCAGAGCTGAGGGTCACGCCGCCAGCGCGCCACCACGGCCATCGGCCCCAGCAGCCTCGCACTCACGGTGGGAGACGGTCCCGGAAGTGAGAGGGCCCGGCCCTCTGAAGGCAGGTCACCTCTGACCACGCGGTGGGGGGTAGGACGCTTAGGGGACGGGAAGCCCGGGGGGCGGGCGGGGAGGGGGGCCGGCAGCCCACAGTCAGCCTGGGGACCCGGGGACAGAGTCGCCTCTGGGACGTGTAAATTCAATCCCAGCAAGTAGAAGCAGAGGCGCCTGTTAGTCAGAAGGTGTCCATAAACCAAACCCCAAGACACCTGGGGAAGGAGACCTGCAACAATCGCAGTGGACAGAAGGGACGTTGCCGAGTCAGTAAGAGAATCCTGGCGACCCAGCTGGGTGGCCAGCGGAGCAGTGGTCTCCTCGCAGGACGGAAAGCGCCAAGGGGCAGGAAGCGCTCTGCGGAGCACAAACTACAGTCACGCAGGGCCCGGCTCTCGGGCCGAGAACACCAGGGGCGAACAGTCGCAGCCACGGGACAGGCTGCCGACAAAGTCCTGACAACAGGTGGCAGAGCGTTAGGGGCCCCGCAGCGTCGCCGCGGCCACTGCGTCCCTGGGCCTCGACTCCAAGGAGGCACCCCAAGATGCAGAGCCCTGCGGAGCGTGGCCACAGGGCTCCTTTAACTCGGGACGCATGGGAACGGGGAACTACAGAGCAGTTAGTGTGTGTGCTTACGGTCCAGCGACCGTCGACTGAAGTGTTTTCAAAGGTCTTCATGGGAAAATGATCATAAAATAACATTTGGTGAAAAAATAACAGAATCTCATAGGATTTGGGGTGGTTGTAGTTTCCTTCCTTTATTCTTGTTTACGTTTCTGTAAGTTTCCACAGTGGAAGGGGCCCACGTCATAACTAGGATCGAGAGAGAGTCCGTGTTTCTTATTAAGGAGGCAGGAGGCTGGAGACATGTGTCAATCATACAACGTCCAGGGAAGGGACAGGCGCCCGTGAGACGGATGAATTTTTGTTTGCTAGGTGAGGGGCTGGCTCAGCTGGCTTCCTGTACGGAAGGTTCTGGACAATGAGGTGAGTCTACACAGGGACAACCACCTTTTTAAAAGGTGAGACTGTTTCCCCAAAAGGCTAACCTGTGAGCCCTGGAAAGGTAAGAAAGGCAGCGACACAAACCCGAGGCGCCCGGTCCCCACCGGGCTGCGCAGGACCCCGGGCGGGAAGAGACGCTCCGGGGGTGCTTAGGGCAAGCAGGCCCCGACACAGCTCCACGGGGCTCCTTCCCGCCTCAAAGCGGGGCGCCCAGCTCCGAGGCTGGTCCTGACGCACGGACGGGACCGGGAGCGCGTGGCGCATGCGCGCAGGGCCCTGCCCGCGGTCCGCACGTCGCAGGGGCCGCAGGAGCGCCCGGCGGACGGTGGCCTCCCGGTCAGCTCAGGTCAGAGCAGGACGACAGCTTGTCCGCGCGCATGGAGAGCGAGCACCGCGTCGCCGTGGGGCAGGACAGGTCGGCCGCCCGGCCGGCGGCCCCTAAGGCCTGGGTCCGCCCCTCCGGCCCCCGTGTCCCCTCCTGCCCAGGGCGGGTGGCCACCCGCACCGCACAGCAGAGCCGCGGCTGTCACGGTGAAGCCTCGCACGCACGCTCCCTGACAACGCCGCCCAGACTGCGGGGATCCCAGCGTGTGGATTTTGGTGAAATTTCTGCCTCTGGCTGGACACAGGCGGGTCTTTTGTGCCTGTCTTATCAATGCCACCTTGTCACTTCCGTCCCGGCGTTCCACCAGGCTCCGTGGGGTCGGGCCACCCGGTCTGCTCCCGGGGAGTCTCCGCTGCCTCACTCAGCACCCAGGGCCCAGCCGGGGAGGACAGGACAGGCCGGACAGTGGGTGGGACGGCGCCACCTGCCGGCCAGACTCCCCGCCGCCTGACCGCAGCGCGGGGCCCGCACCGCTGTCCGAGGTGCTGACCCACACACCGGGCTACCCTGAGCGCCTGGCCGCCTGCAGCGCCGTCCTGCCCAGGCCCTCTGCCGCGCCGGGAATCCTGGGGGGCAGGACGTCGCTCGAGGCCGCGGTGGGTCCTCTTCCCTCTTCCCAGCTCCGCCTCAGCGTGTGGGCTGAGCCGATGCAGCCCGGGGGGCCGACGGCGCGACGGGCCCAAGAAGTGCCCAGGCGGCCGTGTCGGGAAGCAGGAGGGGCGCAGACGGAGCGGGCGCCCTCAGCTGCCGCCTAGACAGCAGCCGCAGGAGAGAGTGCAGGTCCAAACCAGAAACCCACGGGTCCCATCCAAGAATCTGTGGGGTCTTCTTACTGGCCTTGAGAAAAGCTGTGCACTTGCCCACCGGCTGGGCCCCTGCGTCAGAGGCCTGAGGAGGAGGCTGACCAGTGTGGACAGAAACGCGCCCCACTGGGCGCGGCCGAGGAAGCCAGGCACGCACCGCACAGGCGGCCTCGCCAGGCCCGGGCGACGCAGCAGGTGCTGCTCCCTGAGGCGCCCTGGTAGGGCCGAGGGTGGGCCACGGCCGGCAGGTGGTCCGGTCCGGGTGCGCGCCGTCTGGCACACGGTGGGTCCCACGCGGCCCAAGCAACAGTGGGGGTCTCTCTAGAGACTCTGCCGCAGGAGGCCCCCAGGCTGGGTCAGGACAGGGGGCGCAGAGGAGCGCTGGCAACGCGGCCCTCTGCCCCAGAACGGGAGGGGCACGCATGCGTGCGGGCGCACAGACCTCGCTGCTCCTCTTTTTTACATCAAAGGAGAAACTATAAAAAATGTTTTGAACTGTTACTTTGGGGGAGGGAGAGAATGAGGTGAAGGGACAGAACCCTCCTGTCGTGTCTTGTTCTGCAGCCCCGACAGGGACCCACACGGGCGCATCACGTAACCACACGGGCCGTCCCGTGCGAGGCGGCGCCCACACAGCCGGTGCTGGAAAACGGAGCCGATGACCCTGCCACGGATGAGCCGGGGGCCCGCGCGCAGAGGCAGGGGCTCCAGCGGGTTCCCACGGCTGTGCCCCGAGGACAAGCCCTCACAGGATCACAGGCGGCGGAGGGGACGCAGAGCAAAGAGCCCTTGTCGGGGTGGCGGGAGTGCCAACGGCAGCCACGTGGGAGACAGGTGATGGCACTCAGAAAGCTAAGCCACATGACCCAGCAACTCCACCCCGGACAGAGCAGCAGGGAGAGGGATGGGGACGTGGTCACGCCCGCCCCAAGGCGGGAACACGCGCCTCGACAGGTGGGCGGGGAACCAGACGTGGGCCCCCTCCCAGCAGAGTCATTTGGCCGTGAAGAGGGAGGAGGTGCTGCTGCTGCTGCAGCGTGGACCAGTCTTGACCCCATGATGCTCAGCGAGGAGCCAGGCACAAGGGCACGCAGCGTGGGCGCCTGACGACGTGAGGTGTCCGGAGCAGGCCAGTCGGTGGGGCCACAGAGCAGATTGGCAGGTGCCGGGGGCTGGGGGGGCAAGGTGACCGCAGATGCTCGCAGGCTGGGACAACCCGGGAGCTGCGCGCGGCTGGAGGAGGCGGCGTGGCCCCCAAATCTGCAGCGACCCCGCCAGCTCCTTGCACGCTCACCCGGAGGACAGGGTGGGAGAGGTGGTGGCAGAGGCCGCACAGCTCTGCACCCAGAGACCCCCGGCGCACAGGCCCCGCCCCCAGGCCCAGGCGCTGCGCTCCCCTCTGGCCCAGCCCCCGTGGCTCCTGGCAGGGGCCTCGTCAGGCCTCCAGGCTGAGCGATGCCCCTCCCCCACCACCCTGATGGGCACCCCGCGAGGCAGGACCCGGTGACAGCACACTGGCCGCGCGGAGCCACCGAGGCTGAGCCGGTGCCTGTGTGGCCTGGCAGGCCTGCTCGGCAGGAGTTGGGGGAGGGGAACAGAGTGGGCGCAGCCTGGAGTCTGAGGAGGCGGTCGGGTGCCAGGCCCCCTCCCGCTCAGGGACTCCGGGGGCGAGGAAGGAGCCCTCAGGGAGGACGGGCGCGGGGAGGGCACTGCCTGAGGACCCGCCCAGGGTGGTGACAGGGTTCCAGGCGGCCCTTCACTGAGGGTCTGTGCGGCCGTGGGAGCCGAGCGGCCATGGGGGCAGGTGGGCACCAGGTGCCCAGCAGCAACAAGTGGGAAGCGAGCTCAGGGGCAGCCACGCCTGCTTGCCGCTGCCCTGCCCACCCACACGCCCATTATGCCAGGGCCAGGGTGGCCTCGGTGGCCAAGGGCTTGGCACTGTGCATCACCTGAACGGCTCCTGCAACGCCTGGGGCCCGTGGGGCACAGCTCCCGGCCGGATGCAGCCACGGGGCCTGGTCCCAGAGGGAAGCCGCCCGCGGCCTCGACGCCCCACGCCTCCCTCCTCACCACGTGCCATGGAGGGGCCCCGTGGAAACCATGTGGACACTGGGAAGCGGTGGACACAACCCCCCAAAGCGCCAAGCCAGAGAGGACGGGTCCAGTGGCCCGAGGCTCTTACCTGGACCCAGACAGGCGCCGGCGCCCCTCCCTGGCCTCTGTGTGCTGCCCGGGGCCCTGCGTCCCGGCCTCAGGCGCCTCTTGCTGACCACCATCGCCACCTCTGTGCGGCGTGTCTGCTGCATCCACCGGGGGCCCTGAGGAGGGGGCCAGGCACTTGTTGGAAGCAGGGGCTTTGGGCTCCTGGCTGTCGGGGGTGCCTTCTGAGGGCAGGGGGGCTGGGGTGCCCACGGGCAGCGTCTCCAGGGCAGGCCAGGCCTCCTCCAGTCCCTTGGCCGTGCCCTTGGCACCGGCCTTGGCTGCGCCAACAGAGGGGGCGCCGATGACGCCCCCCGGGCCGTGCTGGTCCTGCAGGCTCTCGGCCGTGTCCTCCCGGCCACTCCCGCAGCCCCCACAGCACACACAGGAGTTGAGGAGGCAGCTGGTGGCCGCGGCGCTGAGTTCGTGGGAGCCGCCCTCCGTCCCCCCGGCCTCGGGCTCTGACGGGGAGAGGTCGCTCCTGGAGCCTTCTGGGGCGGGGCCGGAGCCGTCCAGCGAGCCAGGCGACTTGGGATTGAAGATGACCGTGGCCGAGAGCTTCATGCCGCCCGTCCGGTGGGCAATCACCTCGGCCGCCTCCGCATCATCCGCCGTCGCCCCCCAGCCGTCCAGGTGCGGCGGGGCGTCCAGGCAGCTGCAGGAGTTGGGGCCCGCCGCCCACGCCTTGCCGTCTGGGACGTTGTTGTTGTTGCTCACGTCCTCCTCCTCCTTCGGGGTGGCCGGCACGTCAACCTCCGCCTGCTTGCCTTGCCCTCTCTCCCGGGGCTCAGCGCGGGGGCCGCCTGTCCACCCGGACGGGCCGCCCGGGGTCTCTGCTGCCCCGTCCACGTCATCCATGAAGAACACCCTCCCCTCCTCCTCCTCGCTGCCCTGTTGCCGCAGCCTGCCGCCTGGGGAGGCCACGGCCTGGGGGCTACCCTCAGCCCCAGGCCTGCGTGCGGGGGACTGGCAGGCGCTGGGCGGGGACAGCAGGCACGACATGGCGTCCCCAGCCCGGCACACCATGCGGTTGAGCTGCTCCAGCTCCTGGTCGTCGTACTGCATGGAGCAGGCCAGCTCCGCCTCCGGGTTCTTGGCCTTGGCGGGGAGCAGCTCCTCGGGGGGCAGGGGCGCAGGGAAGGCCGGCGCCAGGGCGGGTGGCACCGGCCCGGCGGCCTGGATGGGGAACTCCACATCCTGCGAGATGCAGAGGCTCCTCTCCAGCGTGTGCAACTCGTCCTCAGTCAGGGTCTGCAGCAGATCCCTACAAGGGACGAGACACGAACAAGTGAAAGTCCCGCCGGCCCCGCCGAGAGCGGGCACACTGCCGCCCTGTTTCCTCCACTACTAAGTGGGGCGCGGCTCCTGTGGGCAGCTTCCCTCCAGACCACGAGGCTCTGAAACCTCTTGCTGAGAACAAGCAAGCTCGGGTCCTTGGGGACGTGGTAACTGCATTAATCAACACACGTAGGAGTGAAAAAGTATGTGTCGGTTTCCATACAGACCTTCGCTCTCTCCTTGTGCGATGGTCACTGAGCCCTGTCTGTGTGCCAGGCGGGCCAGGAAGACAGGCTCGGTCCCTGCCCTCGGGGCTTTGCCTTGGAAGGGGCAGGAGATAAATATTTATGCGAGTGGTGACTGGATTACAGTAACACCAACTGCAACAAGGTGAGTGCCGGCAGCAGGAGGCACCTGGCTCAGTCTGGGAGACTTCCTGGAGGAGGGGACACTGAGCCGGGGACAGAGGTGGGGTGTCTATGGAGGAGGCCCACAGGCGCTCTGTGCGGGGAGGAGTGGGGGCTGGCCGGGCTCCGAGGCCGCGTGGAACCCTGGGTGCCGCCACACGCGAGCTCGCAGGAAAGAGCGCCCCTCAGCACCGCCCAGCCTGCGCGTCTCTGGACCCCGCGCCACCCGATTCGTAGCCCGTCCTCACAGGGCCGTGAGGAATGGCAGAGGGCCACTGAGCGGCCACCAGCCAGGACGTTGATGCTCAAGATCAGCACGTTGCTGGCCAGGAACAGACTCGGCCCCGCGGGGAAGGACAGGCACAGAACTACCACGGGGCTGCGATGTCAGAACCACCACTAAGCCCGAGGCCAAGGCGCCAGCGCCAGCGGCTTGAGCAGAAGAGGACAAGGAGCTGTCCCCCCATCCTACAGAAAAAGGGGCCTGTGGGCAAACACTGCCTTCAGCCCCCTCCCTTCCCCTCCCCCCCCCACCTTATTTTCCGCAGCAACGTGTGGAAGGGCCGGAACAGCTCGGACATGTCTTCCACCTTGCGGTCCAAGTTCAGGGGTCCATCTGCGTAGACCACGAGGCCACTGCATTCAAGACAAAAAAGCCAGCCTGGAGTCAAGCCCCGCGCCCGGTGCCTGGGCGGGCCCAGACCACACTTGCGGCCTCCAAGGCTGCCTTGCACTTGCCTCGCCTCACAACCATCTTAGGTAAGTTCAGAAAAAAGCAGCGGGAACTGTCAAGCAGACTGCACTCTGCTCGATGAGCACGTGGCAGCTCAGGGACCATAGATTAGCCACGGCGTTCGAGCGCACACGAAGCACTGCGGCCGCGTCATCGGCCAGCGCAAGGCTTGCCCCCGGGGTCCCCTCCCGGGAAAGGGCAATGCAGGGCTGCTGTCCCGCTGCACACCGGGGCAGGGCTGTGTGCGCACAAGACCTGCAAGCATCTACCCCCGAAACAAAACAGGAGCCGGAGCCACAGTCCGGCTCGGGGCAGTGGGCGGCTGCCGCCCCCGCGCCCCCCAGCCCCCAGCCACGCGGCCTGAGCCCCCACGCTGGGCCCCGCCTGGGTCCTGGGGGATGAGCACGCTGGGGACACTGCACAGGCAGGTGAGGCTTCGCAGCTGCGCTCTCCAGGCTGCGCCCCCACCTGCAGGGGACTGAGAGCCCCAGCGGGTCACCCGCCCGTCTGCCGTGCTGCCTTGGGCTGGACGCCCACGAGCCACAGCCTCCCCCGGCTCCCAGCGCCGCCCCCCACCAGCTGGGACGGCCCAGACCCAGCCCCTCCCTGCTGGCTCCGCCGGAGCCCCCGAGGCCGCCCCCAGGGAGCTGTGTGCTCTGTGCACCCCGGCCTCTCCCAGGTGGACCCCCAGCCCGCCTGCCCCTCGCAGAGGTCGGGCCCGCGCCCCACCCCTTCCAGGTGGGAGGCAGCCTCCTGGCGCTGCCCTGGCGGCGCCGCCCTCTCCCGGGCATCCCCGGGCCTCCAGAGACACTCGTCCTCTGCCCGGGACCTAGTGCCCCGCCTGACTCCGCTCACAGGCCGCCCCCAGGCGCCCGGCTCTGCAGGCGCAGCTGTGCCGCCCGCGGGGGTCTCGCCGCGCACCCTGCCCGCGCTGTCACCCGGCCGGGCCCATCTCCACCCCGACGGCCCCCTGCGGCCCGGCCGCCCCCGCCCCGTCTCCGGGCCCAGGCAGCTCAGGCCTGGGCACGTCCGCCTGCGGACGGGGCCGCGGTCCCCCCTCGGCCAACGAGCGGCCCTCAGTGCGGGGACGCGTCTGGCCATGAGGAAGCGGGTCGCCAGAAACTGAGCAGAAGGACTTTGCCCCCAAAAAGACTGGGTTTCACGCGCAGAGAGCGCGGGAGCTCCCTCCTCCCCGGGGCCCACGTGGGCCCTGCGGGGCGGGAAGCCAGCTGCTCCCCCCTTTGGTCATCGTCTCCCTGTCTTGACCGCATTCATGGACGCACGGAAGTGTTTCCCTGGGATGAAGTCCTAGCTGTCTCTTTTCCCTGTGTGGCTCACGCTTGTGGTGTCAAAGCTAAGAACCCACTGGCAAATCTGGGGAACGGGAATTCACCTCCTGCACGAGCCAGAGTTCTTCACGGAAGCGGGACCGGCAGCGCCTCTCCACGGGCCAGCATCGCTGCTCTGAGGAGCCCTGCGCGGGCTCGGCGCGCAGCCTGGCACGCAGCGCGGCCCTAGTGTCGGTCTGAACGAAGGGCAGGGGGCAGGTGGGGCACAGCAGACTCTGTCCCCAGCCCTGCCACCCCTCCCAGCTCCCCGCCTCCCCCCCCCGCCCCCCCGGCTCCGCTCTGAGAGCTCCCCAGGCGCCCCCTGGGGTCCCGGGACGCCCACGTCTCATGCCTCATGGCCCGTGGCCCGCAAGGGCGCGGCCACAGGGACACCGGCAGGGGCCTGAATCCCCCAGAAGTGCCTGTGACCGGCTCTGGGCTCCCTCCAGCCCGTCCGCACGCGGTGCCCGGCCCGCAGGGGGATGCCTGCTGGGCCCCCACCCCGGCCTTGGTAGTTCTGCTGGGGCCCTGGGGGGCTTCTCTCTCAGGCCTGTTCCAGCCCAGCTCACTCCAGAGGGTCCTACACAAGCGCCCCTCCTCAACGCTCCAGGGCAACTGCTTCTGGCAGGCGCTGGAGAGTGAGGAGGTGGAGCCAGAGGGCTTTCTCGTCCCCACCCTGGACAGGACCAGTGTCTGCTCTCAACTCTCTCCTGGGCTCCCGCTGCCACCTCCTGGCGGCCCCACTGCCGCCGGCTTCCCTTCATAGCCTCTGAGCCCGGCCTCCCTCTGCCATGACTCAGAGCCTCCTGCAGGTCCTCGCGGCCCCTCACCTCCGCCCCAGGCCCCCCTCCAGCCGGGGCCCCAGGAGCAAGACTTCAGAGACTGCAGGGCAGCCCAGGCAGTGCAGCCTCGCTGGCCAGCGAGACGCAGCCCCGGAGGCTGGCTCACTAGAAACAGGCAGGCCCAAGGCCGCTGCACTGCGGCCACCCAGCCAGGCCGACGGCAATGGTGACGAGAATTCTAAAGAGCTGAACAAACACACGCCACGGGCTCGAGGGTGAAAATCCAGAAACGCTGCGTGTCGGCCGCTCTGACGCCTCGCTTTTATTTTAAAATGGCGTGCGGCCCAAGGCGGTGTGAGTCCCTGATGGCCCCGGGCTCTGGGGCTCCGGGGCTCCGGCCGCAGCCGGGCTTGATGAGTTTGCCGGCGGCGAGCAGGCAGTAAAGGCCACGGATGCTGCTGGACTGTTCCGGGCGGGCGGGGTCCACACGCCCACCCTGTTCCACGTGCTGCTCCAAAGGAAGCCGCCCAGAGCCTCTGGCGTGGTGACACCCGGGACAGGACCTGTGGCCGGGACGGCAGCAGGGACGCCGCCTGTGCTCACGGGGAAGCTCACAGACCGATCCTGTCCCTGCTCAAAGCAGCTCTACTGTTTTGTTCTTTAAACAAAAGACCCAAAATACTTTTTCTTCACGTGAGTTGGCCTCAGAAAGCTGTCTGTAACCAGGCAGCCCCTTTGTGCTGCCCCTGGAGGGCAGCCCCGTCTTCCGGGAGGGGCCGCTTCACTCCAGGCTGCCCCAGCTGCTGCGCTGGGGATGCCCGGCTTCGCCCCTACACCCTCCTGTGGAGGCGCATGGAGCGCCCCCTGCCCTGCGCTGTGCTGCTCGGCCCGCTCCTCCCGATTTGTAAATTTAAGGTGGAGACACCTGAGGAAGGAGGGCACTGGAAGGAAGGAGCTGGGGTCTGGAAACGCCCGGGGACCCCAGGGGAAGCCGCGGGTGCGGTGGGGGGTGGGGGGCCCGCCCCCCACCCCGTCCTGGGGGCCGGACCAGCCCCGCCCACTGCCCCAGGGTCCCCGTTTCTTGTAGCCACGTCTCCTCTCTGCAGTTCCCATACTTCGCTGTGTATAACATGCACCCACATCTTTGTCCCAAACTTGCAAGAAAAAAAATCTTTCATTTTAATTTTTTAATTCAATTTTTTATTTATGCACAAAATTGATGACTGTATTCAGGGTGGTATTTTGTGTACGGATACTGCCACTGCTTTCCAGAGCCGAACTTCTAACGCGTGAGCGTGAAGAGAAAACTAAGCCCTCGTCCTGCCCGCACGGGTCTCCTTAGACGGCTCTGGCCCAGCCCGGGGCAGCCCGCCCGCCGGCTCCCTGCCGCCCACCCCACCCCCCGCCCCGCCCCTGTGCTGGACCAGTCCGGGGGCCCAGGCCTCCACGCCCACCCACAGCCCTGGCCCCTCCCCGACGGCCACATCCCCGCCCAGCACCTGCCGCCAGCCTCCCGCCCGGCTCTGTACGCTTGTGGGCTTGCTGCCCACGGGGCCTCCCCAGCTGCCAGGCCACAGGCCCTGCTGCCCAGGTCCCCACCGGTCACCGCACGCGCGCTCGCCTGGCAGGAGGGGGTGGCCCCTGTTTGGGAGTCGGGGTGGCCGGGCAGCAGCAGGCCAAGCCCAGGACACCTGGGCCCTGAGACACTCGGCAAGCGGCCGCGTGCTTCCTGCCTCGGAGCGTTCCAGGCTGAGCTCCGGCCGCCCCGAGCCCGGAGGCCGCCAGGGCTGACCCGCGCTCCCCGCTCTCCCGGGTGCGCGCCCCCGCCACGCTCCCCAGCTCAGCCGACCAGGCTCCATCTGCCGCCAGCCCGCCAGCCCCAGAGCTCTCTCCGAGGAGCCCACCCCCCAGCCTCCCGCAGAGCCAGGGGCACCGCCCCTTCCTCAGAGCCCCGCCCCATCCTGCTGGGCCCCTCTGCTCTGCCCCCAATCTCCCTTCTTTGGCTCTCCCTTCTTTGGCGTAGGGTGTCAGGTGTCCATACTATTTAGGGAAGGGCCCCCTCATCAAGGGGGCACAAGGCCCCCAGGTGCTGAGGGACAGCAGCAGCACTTTGGGGTGACTGCCCTGGGCGGCTAGACAGTCACCTCTGGGGGGCGTGAGTACCACCTATCAACACCCAGAGGGGACATCAGACTAGAGGGCCACCAGGGTCCGGCCGCAGGACCGCCCAGGCGCAGGGGACACTCACCACACGATGGCCAACCTGGGGATGGTGAACATGAGGGCCGGCTCGTAGTCGTCAATCATGTCCTGGGTCAGGTACCCGAAGGCCAGGGCCCTGGCGGAGGCGGGCAGTGAGGGGGCAGGTGGAGCTGGGAAGGCAGCCGCTCGGCCTCGCCCCGCCCTGCCCCCAGCTGGGGCGTGACACAGGGGGGTGGGGGCGGCACAGGCCCCCCGCCCCCCGCCCCGCCCAGATCCCGGCGCCCGGCGCCAGCGCGCAGCGCAGCGCTGGCAGGATGGCCTCGAGGGCTGGTGAGAAAGCTACCCGGCCTTGGGCCTGCCCGGCCAGGGCATGAAACGCCCCCGGTGACAAGGAGAAACGGGGAACAAACCATGTGCCCAGACGGGTGCCTCCCGGGGACAGAGACGCTCCCGGGATGCGTCTCTCCCAGGCACATGCAGGGCCTCCCTGCGCCCCAGGAGCTGGCACCGGGGTTCCGAGGGCAAAGCGTTTCCTTCATCTCACGCTGATGACTTGAAATAGCTCCCAATACCTCAGGGCTGAATATCGTGTCTTTAAAAAGTAACAAACTTAGGAGGCGGCAGGAGGCAATATCAAAACTAGCCTAATACCAGAGCGCCGGTCAAGTGCAGAGATCTTTCTAGGTTAAATCTCAGTCCCAAAGTCCATTCAGAAAATCTGATTCTGCGTTATTGTACAAGGCATGATGGGGACATCGGTGATTCACCCCAAAACCCAGGAAGGGTCTGCCCTGCAGAGGCGAGTGGGGGGCGGGGAGGGAGGGGAGGAGGCCCGGCTCCTCGAGGCCGAGCCTGTGCAGCGCTGTGCTCTGTCCTGTGAACTTCAGGTGCAGGACCTGCCCTCCGGGCCCAGAGAAAAGGATGGGCTGGGGGTGCAGGGGGCAGAGGGACAAGGCCGGGGCGGGCCGCTCCCCCGGGCGGGCCGGAGCGGCCGCCTGCGCGCTCACCTCTGCACGGTCTCGCAGAACAGCACGATGACCTCCTGCTGCACGTAGTACTCCCTGGGGGACTTCACCGGCACCATGGCCGAGACGTAGCTGCAACACAGCGGGCGGTGAGGGCTGTCCTGGGCCCGAGGGAACCGCGTGAGCGCGCTTGTCGGCGGCCGCACTCGGCGTGCCTCTCCGTCCACAGCCCCGCAGGACAGCACGGGCACATCAGGGCTGCCCCCGCGGGCCCAGCCCCACCCCTCGAGGCCCTCCCACGCTGGACCTGCCTTTCTGCGTGACTGCGTGACTGTCACCGGCAGCAGCCAGCGAGCCAGTGAGCAAATGAAGGCACACACCGGCCGTGAGCCGCCCCGAGCCCAGCCATCGGCTCGTGGCCTGGGAAGCCACGCCGGGCGGCCGTGTGCCGAGCGGGTGTGAAAAGGTGACGGTGCCTCCCGCCAGTCCCCAGGTGGGAACATGTTCCTCTCCTTCTAAATCACTGCCTCTGATTTCTCTTGTGGCGAAAGCTTATTTGGGAAACCTGGGCAACACAGGAGACAGTAAAGCCAGATCCTCCCTCCTCTTCCTGCAGAGAGCAGCCTTCAGTGTCAGGGGGGCTTCCTCCAGGGGCTACTAGACGGGCATTTTTGTTAACCAGGGCCACCTGGACGGGAACTCTGAGCGCTGCTCTCTCGCCTGCTGTCGGGCCTCTGTGTGGCAAGGAGACCCCAGTCTGGGTGCTCCCGAGCCCTTCCCCACGGAGGCCTGTGGGTGGCTGGGGGTGCCCTCTGTGCAGAGGACGGGGCTGGCTCCGACTTCTGAAGGAGCAGGAGCTCCCTGGCTGTGGGGGGACAGGAGGGGGACAGGAGGGGGAAGGGGGGCGTGAGTTCAGGGTGGGTGGACGCTCAGAGCTCGGTGCTGGTGCCAGTGTCGGGGGGCACCAGGCGCTCTGTGGACTCCCCCAACCTGGGGCAGTGCCCCCATCCCACCGAGCTGGCGGTCCCAATGGGCCCCCAGAGCAGCGGCCACCTCCTCCTGTGTGTGCTGTGTCCCAGACCTGAGCACACGGCCAGGGTCGGGTGATAGCGGGTGAACGGATGAGCCGATGGGCGAAGGGGCAGCTGGGGACCAACAGCATCCGAGGCTGGAAGGCGGAGGGGGAGTCAAGAGGGGGCGGGGCGGGGGCTCATGGCGGCCCTGTGATGGCTTCCCTCGGCAGGACCCTCCGGGCTTTCCGGTGAGGTGTACCGGGGAGGGTGGCTGCGTGGGGGGACACCTGGGGTCGCCTTCATCCCTGGGTCACCTGCCCGGCACAGCCACGCACCGTGTCCCCAGGGCTCCCCACACCCGGCAGCCCTCCGGCGGCTGCGGTTCCCCCTGCCCAGCACGTGCAGCTGGAGGCGCCAGACAAGCCCCGCACAGCTGGCGCGTCCCTCCCCACGCAGCCGCGGCCACGGCCCTGGGCCAGCAGCAGGTGTGCCCCCAGGTCACCTCAGCTCGAACTCGGCAAAGAGGACGTCGAAGTGCCTCAGCGCCTCCCTCATCTTCTCCGTGTAGGTGTTGAGGTCCCGCAGCGCCTGGTCGCGGAGGGTGCCCCGCACGTCCTCCAGGCTGCGGGTCAGCTCCTTGGCCAGCGGGCGCATGGCCATGCTCTCCAGCTCCCGGTTCATGATGATGGAGCCGGCGGCGAGGCACTGCGGGCAGAGCAGCAGCTCAGCGGCGGCGGCTCCCAGGGGCCACCGGGTCACGCCTGGTCCCCATGGGGTCTGACCGGCCTGGGCGCGGCCCGGCCCGGCTTCCCAGCCCCCCACCATGGCTCCTTTGGCCTGTGTAGACCAGGAGCCCCTTCATGGTCGACTGACTCGAGAAGGGTCGGTACCCTCTGAGAGGACTGTGGTCCCCAGAACCAGGCACACGTGGAACAGGCTGGGGTCACTCAGTCCCTCAGACCACCCCCCTCAAGTCCCCTCTCTCAGGAACCCCTGCGTCCTGGCTCCCCTCACTCTCGGGCAGGCGTTCAGGGAGGCGGGCCCCTGCCCCGGGTCCTCTGAGGTCCAGAGCAGTCGTGGCGCAGGTCGCAGATGCCCTCACTGTGACCCGGGCCCAAGGGGCAGGCGAGGGGCAGGGCTGGCGAGGCCTCGGGGCATGGATGCCTGTCCCCTCCCCACTCAGTCCACAGGAGCAGCCCAGACGACAGGCTGCGGGGCTGACCAGGGCTCACAGAGAAACGGCTGGACAGCGCCCGCGCCGTGACCCAGGACCCAGGCGGACGGCCGCTACCTCGGCTCCGAACCACAGCTGGCCCGCCAGGTTGTCGTGCCGGATCTCCTCGGGGAACTTGACGCAGAAGTCCCGCGGGGCGCGGTCCTGAGGGATGCACAGGTCCATGATCTGGTTAATGATGTTCAGCACGTTGTCCTGAAACAGGAGGGGAGGCGCTGCACGGGGCTGCCGCTGGCGGGGACAGCCACCGACAAGCAACAAGGCGGCGGCCCAGCACGCCGGCCAGCCGCACAGCTGCTATGGAAGTTTAGATTCCAGGCCTGGCTGGGGGCTCAGTGGACTGAGCGTCGGCCTGCGAACCAAGAGGTCGCCAGTTCAATTCCCAGTCAGGGCGCAGGCCTGGGTTGTGGGCCAGGTCCCCAGCAGGGGGTAGGTGAGAGGCAACCACACGTGGATGTTCCTCTCCCTCTCTTTCTCCCTCCCTTCCCTCTCTCTAAAAATAAATAAATAAAATGTCTTAAAAAGAATAAAATAAAATCCCTTAAAGAAAAGTTTAGATTCCGGAAGGATCCGGAGTGAGGAGTGAAACTCCCGCCTCCACCTCCCCCCTCACTGAGGCAGGTCACATATACAGGGTGGGGCCAAGTAGGGTTTGTATGGAAAATAACACGGTAACTAATAATTACACGAGAAACTGTTTCACGCACTCACTGTTTCTGCTCACCCAGGACCTACCGAGGATGCCAGCCACAGTGCAGGTAGCTCTGCGAGCTTCTCCGTTCGCAGGAGGAGGCTGTCGGCCTCGATGGCCCTCTCGGCTGCACCCTGTCTAACCCGCCTCTGCTGACCCGCACCGGGCCCCCCGCAGCCCCGGCTGCCATGACAGACCCCGACCCCCTCTCTGGACACCCACACACGAGTTTCTCAGGACAGAGCTGGAGAAATGGAGCAGCAAGGGTCAGACGCCACGCTGTCCCCGCCGACCCCGCGTGTCGCTGATACGGACGCCAGGCGCCTGTGCCGTCCTGGGCGTGCGCACAGCCCAGGCAGACCAGGCCAGCTGTCAGAGCGGCGCTGCTAACGGGCAGGGGGACCCGGCCCCTCCCACCGCCACAGCCGGCGCCCCGAGACCTGTCCTCTGTGTGGACAAAAGGCATCACAGAGCAGCAGCAGCGACCATGGGGGCCAGGGGCTCAGACGGGCCTTCGCGGGCTGGGACCTGGGCCAGGCTGCCGTCCTGGACCGACCTCCTCTGCTCCTGTGGCAGGCGCAGGCCAGCACAGCTGGCCCCTTCATGCGGTGTGGCCCCTGCGGACCCCTCTGGGACCGGAAGGTCAGCTGGGGCCACGAGGAAGCACAGCAGCCAGTGGTGGAGGGGCACTGCCCTCCCCCGGGGACAGGGGACCAGGTGTCCTTCATGCTGGCCGTGACCCTGGGGCACACCGCTCCACCTCTGCTCCTTCGGCGCTGAAACAAACTGTTTTGGATACTCAGTGTATAAAAGGGTAACAAGATTGTTTTTATTCCGTCTTAAATTACATTCCATTCTCTTCTTTTAAATCATCCTGTTCTTTAAACATCTATCAATCCTGCTGTAGAATTACAGGAATGTTGAAATTTGGTTTTTTTCTTTATTTTGTCAAAGGTCAATTTAATGCACCTTCCTCACAGGAAACGTGGGAGCAGCGGGAAAGTGGAGCCACGGGGGCGGCCCTCGGGAGCCCTGGGGGGGCTGCCCCCCGTCCCTGAGCTCCTCCTGTGCGCGCACACACAGTTCAGTGGCCTGCAGCCGCACGACCGTGGGGACGCGCTGCCACAGCTCCACAAACCCAGCTGGCTTCCACGGCCACATGAGGTTCGAGCAAGAGACCCTCCAATGACTCGCTGCGTCCTCTTCCACTGGACGCCTGCCCTGTGTCTGACGCTCCGCCACCATTAACCACGCTGCACTCCGTGCCACGGAGCGTGACACTGGATTTGGGGCTATTCCTTAGGGCCCCCTCGCTTCTAGAAATGGCATCACAAGGTGGAGATTCTAAACTGCACCCACACGCGCCGATTACGGCCTACCGGTCTGCTTTCCAGGAGGCGCGCACTGACCGACACGCTCGCCCTCCGCAAATTCGGATCTCCACGTCCCTCCTCCCCCAGCCTGAGGCTGGGTGCGTTTTCCTTCGGAAGCAGATGTGAGAAATCACCATGAGGGGGAAGCACGCCTTTCACTGCAAAACTTCTCTGCAGGAGATTCTGCACCACATGGAAAACATGAGCTGATACGATGCAGAAATAAAATCCAACCCCACTGAGTGGCGCTAGTGTGAGTTCTTTTTAGAAGGTTTTTAGGGTAGGGAGGTCCCTTTCTCGTGAGTCTATAAAGTAATGAACAGATTCCACAAAGGAAGGGCAGTCAGTGCCCAGAGAATGTCAGTCCTGGTTCAGAGCCAGGGGTCCAGAAAACAAAACCCTCATGAAAAACACGCGCGCCCCTGTGTTCGCTGCAGCACTGCTTACAGTGGCCAGGACAGAGGGGCGGCCCGAGCGTCTGTCCCTGGACGCGTGGGTCAAGAAGGTGCGGTGTACATGCACAATGAAGCCCTGCTCAGCCATTAAAGTGCACACTCACCCTTTGCCACAACGTGGACACACCTAGAGGGTACTGTGCTGAGTGAAACAAATCGGACAGAGAAAGACAAGGAACCATAGGATTTCACATAGATGTGGGCTCTAGTAAAACAGGAAATAACAAGCAAAACGAAACAAAACAGAAACAGACCAGTAGGTACAGAGAATAAACTGATGGTAGTCCAAAGGGCAGGGCAGAGGTGGGGAAATTAAAAAAACAAAAACCAGCCAGAGCCCTGAGCTTGGTGAGGCCACACGTGTGTGTGTCCCGAAGCCGGGCAGCCTCCCAGCAGGGTGCAAGGACTCACTCCCCACACCGCCAGGATGTCAGCTGCTGAGGGCGAGGGCAGGGTCTTGCTTTTATCCACTGACGGGTCCCCAGTGCTTGGGGCTGTGCCCAACACAAAGCGAGCCTGATGCACATTCACTGGGACTTCCAGACCCGGCCAAGATGAAGCAACAGGAACCAAATGCACACCCTCCAGCAACAACAAAGTTGGGAAGGGAAAAACAGGGTTTGCAAGAGAAGGAATACAGGTAACAGATGACCCCTGAGAGGAGAGAAGGAAATGAGGGGAGACCTGCCCCTGTCACTGCCTCGAGGGGACTTTCAGGTCACAGCACAGCAGAGGCACCTGGTGGACCCCTGAAAACTCCCTGGTTGAACAGAGTTGAGGGTCCAGGGAAACCGAGGAGGCTCGAACAGAGGAGGACAGAGCACCAGGGGAGAACACTGCCCCAGGACAACCCTCGAGAGCGGGGCCCCAGGGGCACAGAAGCGCACTGACCACCACACCCCAGTGAGGACCTGGCGTGGACCTGGAGGAGTCGAGCAGGTGGTGGCCCGATCCCCGCCACCCCGGAGCTGGAACCAGGGAAGAGCGCAGTCCCTGGGCACTGCCTCAGCAGTGGAGGACAGTCAGCCCACACTAGACACACCTCTGACCCCACCGAACGTATTCGAAACAGGACCCTAAAGGATCAAACTGTTCCCAGGTAACCAAACTGTAGCACAAAACAAAGCTCAAAGAGGTTTGTAGGAAGATGGAAATATTCAGCTCCCAGCAAGGTGAAGTTCACAATTTTAGGCATCCAAGAAAAAACCACTAGGCCTGCAAAGAATTAGGGAAATAGGTCACATGAAGAAAAGAAAGGCAACTAATCAAAATCAACCAAGACCTGCTGCAGACAATGGGACGAGCAGCCAACACAGTGAGACCATTGTTATAGCCGATGCCCACAAGTTCAGAAAGTCACATAGAGACAATGGAGAAATGAGGAGGAGCCAAACTGCTGTAGAGAGAGGAACATTACCCTATGTGTGATGGAAAAAAAATACAGCAGACAGGATGAACCTCAGACCAGTCATTTCAGAAGAGAAGAACAATGAACTTGAAAACATAGCATTTGAAACTCCAAATGAATCAGAGAGAAATTAGTAACAACAGAACAGATCATTGGTGAGCTACAGGACAACTTCAGGATGTCAAATACACATATAACTTAAGGCCCAAGAGGAGGAGGAAGGGGGCAGAATACATATTTCAAGGAATAAAAGCCAAATTTTTCCCAAATTCAATGACAACTATAAACTCACAGATGCAAGAAGTTCAGTGAACACAAAGCACAAGAAACATTGAGAAAAATACACCAAATCAAAGCATGGTCGAGCCGATCAAAACTAATAAAAAGAGGAAATCTTACAAGTAGCAAGAGGGAAAAAGACATGTTACACATGTTCTTCATTCAAGCAAAGGCTAAAAGAGCTTGTGACCAGTAAACCAGTACTAGAGGAAATGCTGAAGAAAGTCTTTCAGCAGAAGGAACATGACACCAGGTGGAGACAGAGATCATCACATGGAGGGGGCACACCAGAAGGGTGACTGCAATACACCTGCAGGTCTTCTCCCTGACACTGAATGACGTCTAGGCCTTGCCTAACCCAGGACAGGCCTGGCTGCACTCACCTGGCAGGAGCGGAACTGGCTGACGAGCAGCGTGCACCGCTGTGGGTCCTTCCTCCCGTCCAGGCTGTCCAGCTCGGCGGCCACCTGGTTCAACTCCTCATCAGCATAGTAGAACTGGGCGAGCAGCTGCGGGTCCGACCTCTGCAGGAGACAGACACAGCGGGCGTGAGCCAGGCAGGAGGCGGGGTGGGCCAGGCACATCGGGCGTGAGCCAGGCAGGAGGCGGGGTGGGCCAGGCACATCAGGTGTGAGCCAGGCAGGAGGCAGGCAGGAAGCAGCCTGTTCCCAGGTCATGAGCCATGGCTGTGGCCCAGGGCCCTGACATCCAGGCAGCAAGCAGTGTGGGCTCTCCCATTAGCTTCCTGCACAAGGACCTCTTTGTTGCTTGTCCCTGACATACCTGTGAGTCCCTCTGCTTTACAACCACAGGGCTGTGTCTGCTTCTCAGAGGCCACTCAAGGCTGTGGGGCCCCAGAGGACAGTGTCTCTGTAAGGAAGCCAGAGAGCAAGTCCCCACAGCTCTCTGTGATAGAATGACTGACAGATGGGATCAGGGAGAGTGGCGTCCAGGGGACCACATGATGATGGATGGCCACCTGACCAACAACATCCTGAGACCTAGCCCCGGAGCTGGCCCCATTCACCACAGCTTACTGGGGTCCTTCCAGCCCTCAACCCTCCCCAATTCCTTTCACATCGCGGGGCTACGAGTAAAGTGGGAGACAGTCCCACAGAAGGTGTCAGATGGTGACTGAAACCAGGTGGGTGATGCAGAGGCCCCCCTCCTTTGTTCTGTTGCCCTGCCTGCTCACCAACAGGCACATCAGCCCAGCGAACAGGAGAGGACTGAATTCAGGGCACCAGACAGTGGTGTCTGCAGGAGGTTACATCTGCCTGGGATGACAGGACACAGGGCCACACCCACACCTGTCCACAGAAGAACTCGGGTCCAAACACACCAGTGCCCAGGTGACAGGGCCTGCTGTGCAAACCGGCAGGCAGTGACAGTTCAGGTTCAAGAAAGGCCGAAGGTGATGTGGTGCCAGCTGCCTGTCGCTTGCTCCCAATGGACCCAGGTGGGGACTGAGCCTCCAGAGGGCTTTGCGCTCAGCCCCTCCGCTCTCGTTCTGTGTTCTGGAGAGGCTGAAACTACCACATGTGCCTGTGGGGCCACAGGGGAGGGTGGTCCCAGGCCATCACGTGTGTGTGCATGTGTCTGTGCATGTAAGTATGCCTGTGCGTGCATGTGGAAGTGCACATGTACATGGCTGTGTGATCAAAACCCCCTCCAAAGGCAAGCCCCCCATAGCTCAGGCCCCTGCGCCGTGGAGCCAGCCACAGCGCGGGGAAGCCCCTGCTCCCTCACGGGGCCAAGACCAGGACACGGGCCCAGCGGGGACACCCTGGAACCAGGCTGCCACCCCGGGCCCTAGCTCTCCAGTCAAGGAGAGCTGGCTCTGAAGGGTGTCAGGGTGGGCACATGTCCTGCGGTGTGTCTGCCTCTGACTGAAGCGAGTCCTCCCACTCGAGCGCCTGCAGTTGGGCCCCGTCCCACTCCGGCAGCACCGCCCCCACTGCTCCCCTCAGCCCTGTGCGCAACGCCATCACTTGCCTCATCGGGCGGACAGGAAGCCGGGGCACGGAGGGGCTCAGCGCGGTGCCGTGGTGTCAGGTGCACCCGGGGCTCCCCTGCCGCGCTGCTTGCCCTTCGTCCTTAACCAGCTGACAGTGACGAGTCATCACAAACCTAAGCGTAACCCTTCACGCTGCTCCGGGTGCACCTGCGAAGGCAGCCCCTCCGCAGATGGGGGAAAGGGGGCTGCTGACCAGGTGTGGGGTCTCCTTGGGGGCAATGACAATGTTTTAGAACTACGTGGAGGTGGTGGCTGCACAACACGGTGAATGTACCAAATGCCACTGAATTGTTTGCTTTGAAATGGTTAATATTACGTTACCTAAATTCTACCTTAATTAAAATGAAATAGAAAAAGGGACACCCGGGCGAAAGCAGCTTTGCACAGGAGGGTCGGGGAGCCCCCCAGCCTGCTCGCGCTCACTGCCACCCACGCCGCCCCCGATGAGTGGCGCTGAGCACTCGCCCTCCGGCCAGGCCGAGTCTGAGGCCTGAGAGCAGTCTGTGTCAGGAACAAAACAGCCATTGAGGATGGGCCCCTAAGTACAAAAAATGCTAAACTCTCAAGGAAAGTACAGTGCGGCCACATTGTGTTTTCCATTCACCAAGGCCGGTCACGTGCATGATTTGGGAAAGAGGCTGTTTATAGCCAGGCCTGCAGGGAAGGAAGTAACCTGGCGGTCACATCTCGCTGACCCGAGCGAACGTCTTACACAGCAGAGATTTACAGGTGCCCTTTCCCCCATCGCTGAAGACCCCACGCCACTCAAAGGAGAGGGTACCAGAGGAAACCCAGGGGCGCAGCTCCCGTGTGCCCCTCCTGCCCCGCTGTCTCCTGCCACACCCGATACTTAACCAGCCGCACGGTCAGGGGCTCCCTGTTGACCATGAGTTCGCTGGAGGGAATTCACAGATTTTACAAGTGACCGTGTTACGTGTTACGTGGCATTGGTCCTGGAGTTCCAAGAAAAAGGCTTTTCCCTTTCCAGACCCGAGCAAAACAACGGGACCTTTTGCTCCAGCCTCGGAAGGAAGCAAAACTGCAAAGCTCCCCCTCAGAGGGGCAAGGCCCTGTCCTTCCTGCCATCAAAAACGTCTCGCTGGCCACGCGAGTCCACCGGTGGCTCCTCCACAGAGCCCGCGGGGACTCACTCTGGGCACGTTCAACGCCGGCCAGCGGGAGGCACCCCGCGTCTCACAGAGCCGGGAGCTGCCCGCGCGGAGCCCCGGCTCGCCTCGCCCTCCCTGCACACGAACGCCCACTTCCCGGGCCGGTCACAGACCGGCCGACGTCAGGGGAGGCTCCAGAAATGCTGGGCTGGGGGTGCTCCGGAAGGAGGCAGGCCCCGGGCGACACAGGCCACGAGCACCCAGGGCCCGGAGACGGCTATTTCTCAACCACACAAAAACGTTCAACGGAGCCGCAGCTCCTCTGACACCCAGGAGCCCACCAGCGCCCACGTGGGTGGAGCCCCACCCACAACCTGCAGCCCCACCTGCTCCCGCTCCCACTCCCGCCAGGCTGCCTGCACCCTGGACGCTGACTCACGCGGCCCCTTCGTCACAGCTGGGTTGTTACCATATGTAGTCCTCAAATGTATTTTTGGTTGTTTTTAACTCTATAAAAAGGATGTCACGCGTATAGGATATTTTGAGACTGGCTTTTGATTTGTCACATCCTGTGCGCTCTGCCCACCGAGTGGCTGTCCCACAATCGGCAGCCGGGCGTGGAGCCCCGCGGTGCACTCAGCCCCGCCCCCAGAGGGCGCCCCGTTCTCCCGGGCTCTTGCTGGGTAGGCAGGCTCCGGCTGTCCCCTGGCTGTGCACGCCCACCCGCAGGAGGCAGCCATTAGTCCCCACCGGGGGTCTCTGTGGCGAAGCCCGGGCGGCAGGACGGCTCCTGTGGGAGGGTCGAGGGGAGAACCATTTCCAGGCCTTTCCGGGCCTCGAGGCCGCCGCCCTCCTCCGCCCAGGGCGCCTTCCTCAGCCTTCGGAGCCGCCATGCCCGGGGGCGCTTCCGAACCTCCGCCCACAGGCGCAGCCCCTGCCCGCCTGCGACCCCGCCCTCCCCAGCCAAGGCTCCTGTGGTCACATCCCACGAGGGCAGCTGACTCCCGACCTTGGCTCCTCCTACTTTGCCATGTGGTCTGAGCTCTGGGGACACAATGGGAGCATCTTGGGGACCATTACCCTGCCGGCCGCTGGCGGCATTTCTGGGCCGCGCAGCTCGCACCCCAGCAGCCACGTCTCGGCTCCCAGGACCCGCCCCCAGCCGGGCCGGGCCGCTGCGGGCTGCCACTGAGTGGGGTGAGGCAGCCTCTCTCCATGAGCTTGAGCCCCAGCGCCGGACCCCTAGGCCTGAGTTCCCCTGCACATGGGGGCTGACCCCACGAGGAGGGAGTTCCCATTGACAGTCCCAAGACAAGGGGCCCGGGGGGCCGCGTGGTGGCCACCGGGGTCTGCAGTGATGGGGACAGTCACAGCTGGCTGCACTTGGCTGCCGCCGTGGCTGAGCTCCAGGAGTGTTTCCGGTCAGAGGTGTCCTGGCTCTGACGCCCGCTGGGCGCCAGCAGGCAGGCCTGTCCTCCGTCCTCCCCGAGCCCCGCCCTCAGCGCAGTGGGTGGCTCTGCCGGTAACCAGCCAACGGAAGACCAGGAAATCGGCTCCAGGCCAAGGACAAGGCCAGGCGTCAGGACCCCTCGGACCTTCCCAGTAAAAAGTCTAACCTCAGCCCGGGCCGGGGGGCTCAGTGGTTGGAGCATCGTCGGGCACACAAAAAGGCTGCGCGCTGGAGTCCCCCTCAGGGCACACGCCTAGGTTGCGGGTTCGACCCTGGGAGGGGTAGGTGCGGGAGGCAGCTGATCCACGTTTCTCTCTCACACTGATGTTTCTCTCCCTTTTTCCTGCCTTCCCGTCTGTCTAAAAGTAAGTAAATAAATACGTATACACATAAAGCGGCCCTCCATTTCCAATCCTCCGTGGAGGGCAGCCCGGACCGCACCTGGACTCAGTGCCCCTGCGGCCGCCCGGCCGTGGGCGCCCGCAGCGCCGCCCCGAGGCGCCGGGCTGCACTTAGCGCCGCGCGCCCCGGCGGGGGCCTGGCCCGCCGAGCCTCAGCACGCAGGAGCTCGGGACAAGCCAGCCCCGAGCGGACACTGGCCTCTCGCTCCCCGCAGCCCTGAGGCCCCATCAGACTCCCCAGGAGCCTTCCTGCCTGTCACCCACGCTGACCCCCGTGTCCCTGAGGCCGTGTGCTGGTGACCTCCACCCCTCAGCTGGCCGTTGGCCGTTTCTGGGGCGGGGCTTCGTTCTCAGCTCTGGGAGGTCTGGGGCTGCCGCCCTGGGGGCTCCAGCCCCACACCGGCGCCGCCTTCCCCCGAGCCGGCGCGACCCTCCCCCTGCGGTCCGTCAGCCCTGCCCACGGCTGACTCTCGCTCTGGGAAAACCACTTTCTCCCAAGTTCCACAGCTGCTCACGGTGAACATCACCTCAGAGGTGTTCCCCCTGC